AATCCGAATGGGATCTCAAAATTTGGTGACAAGGATGGGGTGGTTTCAATTGGAAGTGAAAGTGGTTCGTTATAAAGGTCGTATTGGAAATAATCGAATGGAGAAGTTCCGCAGTTATTAACAAGGTAAAGTTGCCTTGAATCCACAGGAGAAGGTATTGGAGAGTACCTATGAGATGGAACCGTTCTAACGGTTGGTGTGTAAGGAATCGTTGACGCGAAAGGTATATACGGAGAGTATTGCGGTATTGACTGAGGTACCGTCATCATAACGCAGTTATCCTCCATCTGATTATGGATTGGGAAAAATTCTTGTTCGCTTGACGTTCGATTGTAACAAGGTCTTCGCCTTTCCCATCCTGATGAAGACGACATGGATAACTGAACATGTATCCTTTCCACCTCTCTTGCGATGTCTTCATACTTGCGCTTAACGTGTTGTGGTTCTCGCTTCCAGGCTTTAGCGGCCATTCTAGATACTTCCCTCATGGAAAGCCTAAATCCTTGATTTTGTAATTCTTTTGCATATTCATTTCGATAAATTAAAAATTTATTTGTGGCCCTAGAAAGAAGGTCCCCATTCCTATTCCTTCTAATAAGATCCGCTGGGTTTATATTAGGTGGAAATGGTACGTCAACTGGCAAATTTGGATTAGGAACGGGAGAACGAAGGGTTTGTGCTGGTGATGTGGCGATTTCCGACTCATCGATAAAGATCCATTCATGAGCGACCCCAGATCCTCCCGTAGAATTATTACCAGTCATGATTATTGGTAAAAAAAAAAAGATAATAATGATAATAGTAGTGAAAAGAGAAGATATTGAGGTAAAACTGTGTTTTTTTTTTTAAATTTTTGAATGAGATTTTATTAATGACACCAACTGAGGGTGAAATGAAATAAAATAAACCTCTAACGACGTAAAACTTTTTATTGTTTTTATTTTTTTCGGTTATTTTGCTTATTTCGAAAATTTCAATCGGTGGCAAAAAGTACCAAGTATATATATGAAATTGGTCTCATGATCCATCATGTGGGAAAAAAAATCCTCACATAAAACTTGGTAATCAGTTAAGCTTTAACGAGGTATAGTATCAAAGTCGAATTTGGATAAACCGAAAACCAAACGATCCGACAAAATTGATCGGAAATTTTAAATTTAATTTCAGTCAGAAATAAACATGTGCGGCTGAGGCGTATAAGACGTCAGTTTTCGAGATTTACTTGATAAACTATCTAAAAACGAATTTATATTAGGAAATATTGATTAATCGGTCAAAACCTTCTGTTAAATTATCATCGTCATTAATTTTTTTTTTTTTTTTTGTACTGTTATCAACCTTTAAAGTTGGTCAACTGTGATCCATATCTGGCGATTTCGTGAGAAAAATTCGGGAATTCCTTTCTTTGTTGGCAAAACGCCTTCGCCTAAGGTGGCAATTTTTGGTTAAATTAATTATCAAGGATGATGCACCGACTTGGGCTCATTCCTTACAAAAACGCAAACATAAGATTTTTTTTTAATTAAAAAAAAAAAAGGAGACTGTGTTGAACGTAGAAGATCAATAATTCATGTTTCCAAAGTATTCGATTACCAAATTTAAAATTTAAAATTGAGTATGTCATTCAAAAGATACTTTAAAAATACAAGGACACAATTTCGTTTTGATCTTCGTTGGATTAAACTTTTGACAACTTGACGTGAATATCTTAAATGAAAAGAGAAATTAATCAATTATAAGAAATTTTCTTTATTGTCCTAAAACATTTCGTTCTTCACAGATCCATGAATAGAAAGAAGTCGACTTTAGCTCTCTTACTAATATACTTTAATTATTCAAATAATAAAAGGTCAATGCGGCTCACCTCGAGAAATATTAGACGTTACACATCTCGTAAAACACATGAACTAGTTCCTAATAAATTCATTCGATTTACAATTCACGTTTCATCATCATAGAGTCGGAATGAGTCCTAATTAAGGTCAAAAAAAATTATTGCATATCGTTAACGATCAATGTCTTACAGATTTACTATAAGACAAAATTCCAAGGCATGTGCATGATTTAGAATAAGAAATCCTAAGATCTGAATATCAAAGAAAATGCTTTTGGTGCATGCGATTATTTCAAGAAAATCAATAAGTTGTCATATATAGTTAAATGTCACGTGTGTAATAAGATGTGAACCTTCTTCGGAATCGGTTGAATTTTAGCGAATCGGTTAAATGAGATTTTCGAATATGACGTGAGTAAATAATCGTAAGTTTTAAAGTTCATGATGTTAAGGTCCACGTGAGAATAAGGTCTCACCGGAAATATCTCGACGACCCATACTATTTTTAAAAGAATACAAATAATTTCAACTAATTACGAAAACGTGTCTTCTGCTTTGTGATATTCTTAATTATTAATTTTTTCTACCTTTTTGATTTATTGCAAAAGAGTATTAATTCATTTCTTCTTTTTTAGTATATTTTGGCAATTTGAAATAATTACATTAGAATGATATATTATTAGTAGATGAAATGTATTGACCGTCATCATTTCCATGTATGTTTAATAAATATAATGATGATTTTTACTTTTATCATTCCTTTTTTTAATGGGACAATTAATTCCCGGTTGATCTTTTTTCCGCAAGATTGAGTGGATTGTAGTGCCTTATGCCCACATTGTTAATTGCCAAAAGTTTACCGTTAATAATTATTAGTGTAATATAAATTTATTTGAATTTATTGAAAAAGAATCAAATATCGTTTAGTAAAAATAATCATTGCGTTAAAAATTATTTACACATGACATAAATTTTTTTTTTAATTTCTAATTCAATAATTACAAGTATTCCAAAAAAAAAAAAAGAAATGACAAGTCTAGGATTATTTACAAAAATAAATAAAATAAAATAAAAATTAAATAGATACGTTCATAAAATTACAAATCTTAAAAAAATGGAGGATGAGTAATGTTATATATAATTAATGCATATAAAATGAATTGTGATGTTTGAAATAAAAAGCTTAATTAATTGTGAAGAAAATGATTAATGCATAACTTGTTATTAATTTAAAAGTGAAAAAAGGAGAAATTATATTATTGCCAATTGATTAAAGATTTTTGAATTTGCCAATTTGCTTCGAATCGGTTTAAAAAGAAGATATCATCCCCGACAACAGAAATCCATGTCATCGGTATGAACTCCATTCTTGTTGATAAAGAATTTTCGAATTTTCTAAATTTTTTTTTTTTTAAAAAAAAAAAATTAGATCGATTTTAAGAAAACAAAAAAAAAAAATGAATAAAGGTAACACACAAAAAAAAAGACTTTAAAACTTACTTTAAGTAAACTTTTTCTCTTTTTAGAAATTTTTTTAATAATCCTTCTTCTCAAATTCGGCCTTTTTTCTCGTATGGATACGGCCGTGCGTTCGCTTGCACACCATATAATAATAAATTCTTCTTCGAGATCTAAGTCAGTTAATTTAAAGTAAACTGATTGTCTAAAATATAAGAACCTTTTAAACATTTGTACGGTTTTAGGATTAATTGTAGTGTTTTGAAGGGTAACACCGTTAAAAGGTGCAGACTTTACTTATAAACCGATGTATGTATATATTTTTAAGATAAATTCTATTGTAATTAACAAAAGAAAAAAAAAAATAAAAGACTGGATTCTCGAGGAACGTTATTTATATATTTCTTTTACCCCACATATTTCCTCTTTTACTCATGAGAATTAATGCATTCCTCTTTGTGATTTTTCAAGTTCGGCGTAATCAAGAGTGATTGATAAATATAGATATTATAATAAGATAATATAATATCTACGATACTGTAAGTGGTCGGTCGCAGCGGATGAAAATAATTTTTGGTTGGACGAATTTTTTTGATTCCCTTGGTCGATCCAAGTTAAGGATTTAGGTTTCTTTGTTGCTTACATTTTATGAAACCTGAATGACGAAATATATATATTTTTTCTTTTAAAATTTTTTTTTTTTTTTTTTTTTTTTTTTTTGAAATATCGTACGTACAATGGCATTTATTTGTAAGAGTTTTAATTTCTTCACTTGATCGCAAATATAATAAGTCATTTCAGGTTGATTGTCACAAGTGCTCGTTACAAAGAAAATATAATAGGCACCCTATAATGCTACAAATTATTTATAGCAATCAGTCGAAAGACTGTCAACATGGATCATGTGATCCTCGTTTTAAACGGTAGTGGACAATACTTTCGCACGGACATGATGTATGCCTTGAAAATTAATTACAAAAAAAAAAAAAAAAAAAACTCTCGTGGCTAACATGGATTTTCAATTCGAATAAACTGAGTTATTAAAAATAACTAACATTTGAATAATATTTGGAAGAAAAAAAATAAAAATCAATAATCAATATTTCGGTGCGTAAAATGTTGTATTAAGCGCGTGCATTTTTGTTTGAAACTTGAATTATCTGACATTGTTACTTCTTTTGTGTTAGAAAGCCAAAAAAAAAATCTTAAATTTTTTTTTTTTGGCCCTAGGTCTTTGTTATTTGGGCTCTCTTGTTACAAGATATCAAACGCCATGCAGTCCCTTACATGCGTCATATTGCATTATGGTGCCGTTTTAAGAAAGTAAACAATGATTGCCTAATCGTTCTTTGTCTGAGTAACAAGCCACATCACTAGCTGTGGCGTTTAGTTGCAGTATCTACAGCCACCGGCTGCCGAAATTGATACCAATTTACTATTTAAACTTGTTCAAAAAAACAAAAGTTCTTACATGCTTTCTATTATTCAAGTTAGTTACAAGTATGGTAATTAACATAGGAGATGGCTTAAATTTTTCTTATTGGAATCATTAAAAGAATAAAATTTGATCAAATTCACCGTTAACGAAAGGTTGTTCTGTCGAATAAAATAAAGTTTGAGAAGGTGTTTCGCCATAGAATATAATCGTTTCCAGCAGTTTCGATATTGTTGTTGACATAATTATCCATTGGCGTCAATAAAGACGAATTTACAGGTATTGTTGATGAACCACATGTAAGTTTGGGGCGGGAGAGGGCTGATTAACGTAATGATAATGTGGCGTAACGGAGTCGGACGTTGAAGGAGTCGATGAGGAAGAAACGGGAGAACTAACAATATAAGGGGCGACTAATAATCTTGCTGTAATAAGGCGATCTCTCGAAATTTCTAATCTTGCTTGATGATTTTCTAAATTAAATCTTACAAATTGTTGATAGGCATCTTTAAGTCTCTTGTTTTCTTTTAACCATAAAGCTGAAGCCCAACGAGAGATTAATGTCATTTTAAACCTGCGAGAGTTTGCGTTTAACAGTTTTTGATACACCTTACGATAAATCGTGAAACCATTACAAGGCTTACGACTATTTGGTTTGGGGTATGTGGATCAGGTATAGAGATTTCTGGGGCGGGTAATTCGACTGATTGATTATCATCATCATCATTCGAAAATTTGTCTGTGAACTCATTGCTAAAGAAATTGAATTGTTTATATTTTATATTTTTTTTTCTTTGTGCTTTTTGCCTTTGCTTTTTCAAAGAAAACAGTTCTTTTATGTATTTTTTTTTTTTTTGTTAATCGTTATCTCGTTTTTGTTATCGCGTTTATAAAATTCGTCTTCCAAGAATTTTTCCTGACCGAGCAACAAAAAAAATTGGCGTGTAAAGTTACACGAATTATAAAAGAAAAGCTGCTAAAGTATTTAATTTTTTTTTTAAAAAAAAAAAAAAAAAAAAAAAATTACTAAACGGGAGAAATATACCTTTTCCTTCCATATAGAGCCTAGGTGAGAACTTTTATACTTAAAAATATCTCAGAGTACTAATTCAAATAACCTTTTTTTTTTTTTGATTGAGACGCGTATATAGAAAAAGATCTGCAAGATTTTTTAAATAGAAATTTTGTGGCTGTTGAACCTTTTTAAGAAATGGACTTTTTTAGCATCGAATGTCTAAGCCAAGTCTTTATCGGGAAAGTTTTAGAGCGTTTTATATAAGGGCTTTTCGTGCAGGATTCTCTTAAAACAAGTAATAGATTTATTAATTAATTAGGCTTCCAAGATAAATCTTAGGTTAAAGGATGATTATTATTCGGAAATCATAATCCTATACATTTCAATAATTTGATTCGACGATTTTATTTGGTTTTTGAACCTAACTTAACTAATACGAACAAATAAATTTGTAAGATGGAATGGTATTTTTTTTTTTAAAGAAAATAGGAAATTTTTTAAAAAAAAAGAGAAAAAAAAAAAAAAATATAAACGGCAAACAAGATTGAATTCATTAAAATTTTATTGACTTTAAACAATATATGCTGTGAAAATTGGATTTGCACTTCTTTTTAAATCTGACGTTCTTTCTCTATTAATTGTCGTGTAATTCTTCGGGAAAATTAGATTTGTCGAAGAGACTTGTTTAAGATATTAAATTTATTTGTTTCCTTCTTTTCTTTTTTAATGAAACATGATGTATGCGACTTGAAAGTAAATACAGGTCCGATAATCCAATCCTTCGATCTCGTAATTGTCCCATTAAGTTGTCACGTGCAACAGTATCACAAAAATTCGAGACCAATAACGAATACATGGTGGAAAATATTCTTGAGAGTTAATTGGCCTGACAATGATAATACAAATATTTTTATTTTCATGTAATAAGAAGAAAATTTTCCTTTTTGACTTGAATAATTCATTATTATGAATATTTGTGAAGCAAATTAAGAAAAGAACCAATCAATAAAGTGCCGATGATAGTATGATTGTAGAATAAGTTTTATTCTTTCCTCTAAAAAAAAGAAAAAAAAAAGGGAGCTAAACAATGTAGTTCATTCAAAATTGAAATTTAACACAGTTTTTTTTTGATAATCTCAGGGCATGCATAAAAAAACTCATTAAGTCGAATTCCTTGTATGATAGATTTATCAAATGATGTAAGGGGCATTTTTGTATAATTTAACTTGATGCTATCACTTTTATCATGCCACCTGATTATATACATGTGATGGTTTCATTCTTTCTAATCCAACAAAATTAACAATAGAATATAAATACGTGATAAGATTTGAATGAGTTAACATATGGTTGTTGAACAAGTTAATTGAATTGCAATTGATTAGTTAATTGTTACTCGATTAATTAACCATTTTTATCATTCTATTTTGAAAAAATAATAAAAAAAAAAAAAAAAAATAGTGAACAGCTAAAAAAAGCCGACAAAACGATTTTGGTTAAATTGATCATGACATTAACAGTAAATAAACATTTTCAATTAGGATATTACGATAACTATTTTTGCGCGCGTACATGATCATTCCCGTTTTATAAAAATGCAATCTATATTTAAACCGGACATTCAACTCCTGTATATATAATAAGCACTTTAAGCTGACTAATTTACGTGTTTACATATTTAAAGATTTACTGAAATTGGCAGTTTCAGTTCTTATTCGTTCTTGTGTAAAAAAATGAAATAAAGTGAAGAGATAATCTAAACGAGATCTCGTCATTTGATTGAAACTTGAAACGTATCAAATCATGTTTACATACGTATGCAAAACAAAAAAGTCGCGTTACTTGTTATTTTATTCTACATGCGAACATAGTTTTAAAAGATTGGCGTTTATCGCGTACTTAATTAGGTCAATAAATGAATCGTTCTATTCTACAATTGTCTTGAATTGATTTTTATCTTGACGCCAATCGATTGAGGGATTGGCACAACGCACCTGAATTTCTCGTATTTCACCCAAACGCGAAACAAGTATCTACAACTGATCTTGGGAAAAAGAAAGGAGAAAATAATAAACATGCATTATGTACGCGTTACAATCATTTATAAATCACCGCCTTTTTTTGGGATAGAATGGCGATAATTTTTTGGTCTTTTGATGTTTTTATTTTTCACAAGATGAACATCATTAATGAATGAATAAAGTGAGATGATGGTTCAAGTAATTTATTATTTTTTTTTTTTTTTTCTTATCGATGCAGGGTCAAACGATTTCAGGACATGTTATAGAAACCAGATAAACATCTGATTTGCACGTTTAAAAAAAAAAATCCGGAATTGCGCTGAAAGTGGAAAATGATGAAATTACTGATTTTACTGTTTCATGAATAAATCGTTCATGTAGGTGATATGAAAGAATTAGTACAGTGATAACTCGAAATGGCAACTTGACAACGACACACGAGCTCATTCCCTATGGTAATGTGGCGCAGCATCAAGGGGAGACTTATTTTATTTTTGAAAAAACCAGCCTTTTTGATCCGATGACTATTATCTGAATCCTTTGAACAAAAATTGAAAATGAACCGAACGCGTCGAAATTAGATCGAGATTTCCAGAATCGGTAATTATGTCATGTGATTTAGGCGGGAAATAGAACTAAACTAGTTAGGACATATACATTTGCGCCGTGTTCGGTCCCGACAATAATTATTTATAACCCTGACCGGTGTTTGCATACCGATAGTCAAAAACTAAGCACAATGCTACCTGGTATCAAAATAATAATAACAAAAAAAAAAATATTATATATATATATATATAAAACATTTCATAAAGATTATACTTAATATTGACAGAATCAACCTAAAAAGGTTATCATAAATGAATGTTTTATTTTGGGAGTGAGACTTCCCGCAAGAAAAATAAGTCAGAGGAAAACAGGAAACCCATAATATTAACTGATGTTAAGTGAAACAATTGAAAAACTAGGTGAAACGGTATGAAGTGATATGACGAAATATTCAATCACTTATTTGGTCTAGCATCTTTTCCATTGTTTGCAGCTCGGGATTCCTTTATGAGAAGGACTACTAATTTAATTCCCCAAAATGCAAAGGCCACGGTTCTTCTAATTTTAACAAACTAGATCAATTTTTTATTGGGTTTTTTATTTTTTTGGTTTACCGAAAGTAATATATAATCGACTTTAAAGGTTTTACTAATTTGGATAGTTTGCACCTAAAGTGTGAAACAATTCCCTTTTATAGCTATTCATTATTATAAGTGATATACCCTTAGTGATGATTAAGAAATTATGTTCTTAAATATTTAATAATAATTAATATAAAAAAAAAAAAAAAATGATGCAACAATTCGGATTTCATGACCGGTCATTCATTTTTATAGCTAGTTTTAATTGTAATTATATTTACAATATTAAAAAAAGGTTTTTAAATTGTTTGAACTGATACAATATAAATATACAAGGTCTTGACGAATTCCTTACAAAAAAAAAAAAAAAAAAAAAAAAAAAAAAAGGCTTAATCACATTTTCCCATAATATCATTAAAAATAATAAAAAAAAAAAAAAATTTGAAAATGACTAGATTTACCGCAGACCATAACGATAACGTTATTGGAAAAGATGATCAACGTATGACCGTGACCATTATTGATGAAACGGCGACGGTTTCATCCACGCAAAGAAATAAACAGGTCTTTTCACCAAAACAAACGTTCCCACCTGAACCTTATGTTGAAGTACCTCCCCCAATCCTTCTAAATATTGAAGAATTCATGCCAAAGAAACCCGGTGGAAAAAAGACCTCGAATGCTTTCATTATTTATCGTACGGTGTTCGCGAAGATTCTTACCGGAAAGGATTTTCAAAATAAGATGACCGACGTTTCTAAATGGGCATCTATATCATGGAAGAATGAAAAGGCTGATGTTAAAACTGCGTACAAAAGGTTTGCAAAGGAGATTCAAACAACTCATAAGAAACGTTCGCAGGAAGCTATGAAGTCTCGCAATCGTCGATTAGTTGCTGCAAGCACCCCGAGGCGGGTAAATCCATCAATTTCTCCGAGGCACGAGATCCCAACTTATCAACAACAAACAAATTTGATATTTGAACAGGGGAATATAAACTTTCCTGAAGTTTATCAAACGTACCCTTTTCAAACTCTTCAAAATTTTCAAAATTTTATTCCAGAGACATCCGAAGAGGAATTTCAGGCAAATGATCAATTGAATTCAATGATCACCCTTGAAGAATTTGACCAATCTCCCATACCTTCTTCAATTGAGGAAGAAATTCCTCTGGAGATATTAAATGAGGATTTTGGGATTTTTGATTTAGAAGTTCCTTCTTTCTCAATGCAAACAATGTTACCATCGTCACAAGAGGCTTATTCCGAATATCAAATGCTTTATGAGGAGGGAATGAATGAACCAGGTTGGATTTTGAACTTTAATTAAAAAGTACAAACTCAAAAGGAATGTTATAATGTTACGAGGAACATTGTCATATATTGAATTTAACGGATGATTGTTTTTTAAAGATATATTCATATTTTTTTTAATCGGTTAGTAATGTCATTTTTTTCTATATTATTATTTTTTTTTTTGATCTTAAATTCTTGTGTTCATGAAATTTTCTTTTTGCTTAATTTCTTAAGTAAATGAATTCGAACCCACTTTATTATATCTTTCTTAAATATTCATATTAATTAACCTTCATGATAAACTTTTATAATCGACATAGTTCATCGTGAGGTTAAAAAATTTTTCTTAAAAAAAAAAAAAAAAAAAAAAAAAAAAAAACATTATGCAAGCATTTTTAAATTTAGAAATTTGCTTCCCTAAAAAATATCTACATTAAGTTTTAATTAAGTTTTGTATAAGATTTAACAGATTTAGACGATGATCTTCACAAATTTATGATTTTTTATGATTATGAATAAATTTCCTATATTATTCACTTATACGTAAAAAAGAATGTCCAAGTTGATGTCTCTAATCTCTTTGAATGATTATTATCCAAAAGATTTCTCAAAGTCCAGATTTAAAAAAAATTGAGCTCTCCACTTATTCAGTGACCCCGTGGTGCTATAGAATACAAGAGTATCACAACCTAATACAAATCTATGCCTTTCGTGGTAAAGATTAGATAGATCTGATGTTACACAAACACGTAAAAATTTTTTCGCGATCTGCAACGTGATTTAATAAAGATGACTTAGGTTTGGATAATAAGCAATAATAATTATCACCATTTCATTCCATTATCACATTATTGTATTATTTATTAGCTTGTAGGTCCCATATCTGGATTGTTTTGGATCACTTATATGTCGTGTAATTCAAACAGTTCAAGCAATTGTGAACGTGACGAAATTTTACTTTAAATAATTCTGCAAATGAAAAAAAAAATGCCATGAAACGAATTCACACTCGTATGACACCTTGATAATCTATTTTTTTATAGAAAAAAAAACTGAGTCGCTTAGGATCTTCTTGGATGATGCATATGATGATGCAATTTATTTCTTTTGATTAAAAAAAAACCCGATATTGTTCGTAATTAGTTACTGTATATTATGATCTGTTATTTTCACGCGAATTTTTATCAAAAAGCTTGTTATTTTATCACAACATCAAATCCTTCCTTTTTTTTCATAAATGTAGGGGTAATACTACTTGTGAGATTTCTTCGTATTTTAAGACTTTTTGTCCATTGGTTCCTCTATAATAATAAGGCGCTACACAATTACATTAATGATATAATATACGATGAATCAAATTTCAATTCAAGATAGCATTTATACATAAATAAATTTTAAATCAAAAATGGA